CCGGGTGAACTTGCTGTACCATCGATAAACACTGATCCTGGATGGAGCTTCATCACCAAAAATCGAACTAAGTACATCCATGCATTGCTGTTGAGTTAGTCCACGTCGAAAGTTGTAGAAAATCATCGCGCGAAAATGCTCACGGTTCTACCCCATAACCTGGCCTCAACAAAATCTTATAACTTAGTGTAAACAAAACAAATCGCGCTCAAATTTCGCAACGTAACCTAAAAACAGTCAAACTTTACGATAGTGGTGTCAGTTGCTAGATTGCTACACTAGTCTTACCAAATCTCAAAATATAAAAGGCAACCCTAGTACATTTTCACCTCAGGCTGTTCCCATTTCCTAACTTCAATTCCGTTTTTTTCTCTTAGTCAAGATAATTTCCAATTGTACCCTGAAATATACTTTTTAAGGTGTTCCTTATCTATCATCTGTGGATGAGTGGGTGGCAATACTGAGGGCCACACAGCGACCGACAGCTAATCATTTACCTTTTTAAATAAAATTAGGTGTAGAGGCCCAGTGAAAAATGCTGAAGTTTACTGAGGTTGTTGACTATGACCCATCCAATTGCCCTTCTTCCTGTTCTTTGGATGACTATGATTCGGCTGTAAACAAACTCGCTCAAGATGCCCTCCAGATGGAAACAAGTTCTCGATAACAACTTATGTCGTGGTTCACGTAGTTCTTGAGTGCTGATTGTGCGTAGGTGTACGCCATAAGACGAAAATATCGTCCATTTTCTCATTCTTTTCAATTCCAAGTGTCCGAACTTTTTTGCAGTTGGGTACGTTGGGCATTACCCTGCTACTTTGGTTGATCTTCTACCGACGGCTCGTTCCACTGAAGATACCCGATCTATCGTGCGGTGAATACATGAAATATCCGAATGGAGTAAAGTACCGCATGTGATATCGATTGATCTCTAGATTTTTCTCAATAATTATTTATAAATATGTACATACAAGCTGTGTTGAATTGCATCCCCACAGCTTCAAAGTCTATGCATTATAACTGTAATTTTAGGAATTTCATTGCAAGAGTCCCATGATCCGTCGACTTCTTTAGATCTGCTCTGAAGGTATCCCTTGTTCTGCTGGATCGCTGTTTATCTTCTCCTAACGATATTTGATCTGCCTTTTCTTACTGCTACATATGTGATGCAACTGAATGTCCTGATGCAGAAGCTTTTGGGAAATCGTGCTTATCGATCCTTCTAAATTTTCTATTATATAAGGTAATCGTAAATTGGGGGCATAGGCCGGCCGATACTCGCCCCCGAGCATAGTCTTAGGGGCGGCGCTTTTCGCAAATACCACATCTGCGTTCCGTCATCACTTTTTTGATCTATGGAACAGGCTAAAAATGTTTTTGAAGTGGCGAAAAAACCGTTAGCAAAAGCGTCTGCAGCTTTTTCTTTGGACAGAAACTGGAAGAAAGAATGAGGTCATTCCTTGAAAGAATTAGCTAACGAATTCGTCCACTACAAGCAAGCCTTAGCTCTAGCGCTTACCCCCTGCTACGCGAACGATAGTGTTTGATCAATGTAAGACCATTTTTGGACAGTTTCACATCATCGGCGTCCAATACTGAGAATAAAGGATAGCCTTCGAGCATTGATCAGTCTCGTCTGCGGGATGCACCTTGCATTCGACTTCCACTCAGAATCGTAATGCCGTACTGAATGTGTGTGCGGTCTGCGATAACCAGCCGATGAATGAGAGGATCAGCGAAAAAGGAAGCGTGACATTTCGGAAGGGTGCTCCCTCTGGTATTCGTCATGAAAAAGCTAAGAGATCCGTGAAATCCGCGACTATCCAAATATTGTGAGAGTGCACTCAAAGAAAACAATACGTTCACCTATCCAACGGATCGATTCGCAGGTACAGTTGCCAGCTGCTTCTCATGGAACCTTGCGGGATAATCTTTTACGAATAAAGTTAACGATAGGAATTTGGTTGCCACGGTCAACCCTTACCGTACTCTCCATATTACAACCTAGTCGACAAGGGATAGTAGCAGACATGCCGTTCTAAGTACTTTACTCGCTATGCTGTACACGGGGAAATCGAGTTCGTTGTTCAAGGAAAGGCTACGGGGAGGAGCCAGCTACGGTACACCCATGTTTCAGTTTATAATGCAAATTGCTACGCTTGTTGAAGACAAAGCCTTTGTTTTGAATGAGCCTTAGCAAGGAGAAGATAATTATAACAATTTTATTAGAAAACTCTCAGAAGTTATCACTTTGTATAGAAATAAAAAATATAGATGAAAGAATAGCCCGGGTTTGCGTTCACTAGAAGTGTGGACAGGAATTGAAAATTCGATTGGGTACTATACCGGGCGTTAATAATAATAACAATGAGCATGGAAACCAGTCAGACGAAATCTCTACGAAAACAGATGCAAAAGGAGCAGATTGATTGATTGGCTCAAGGATCACAAGAATACAAAGATTCCATCTAGCTATAGTACAAAGTAATCAGCAAGATGTAGCGCAATCACTGTCGATTGACTCATGAGTTTCGAGAGACATTTCTACACAATCAAAAGTCTGAACAGCACGAGAACCGACTGAAGGAGATGAAGAGAGATGAAGGCGAGATGCACCACACCAGCGTTGGTCGCGCACCGCTTACGGCTTTTCAACAAAATCAAAAATTTGATTCATTATGAATATAAAAAAGCAATTGGAATCCGCAAGCGGTGTATACTCGTCTAGTAAAAGGCTGAGATGAATCAACAGAGAAAAAGTAAGCGACGGCTTATTATGCTGTGTGTGCCACCACACGAACCTGGTGAGTTGTCCAATAAAACATGCTCATTCTTTGATGAAAGCTTACGTGATTCTGATGAGAATATTCAGAACAATGAAAACTAAAACAATGCCATAGCGGGTTTTAAATAAACAGATTGAGTAGAACAAGTGAATTTCAAAATAACACGCTTGAATGAGATTCGCTTGCAGTTCTCAATCGTCCAACATGCAATGATAGGGGATCAGAGTTGAAAGGTTATGTTTGTGATAAACGAATCTTATCGTACATGTTGTCAATTACTGTCTGGTACTTCAATTGAAGAGGTCTTCGCTTCAATTTGAGAGCTTCGGTGAGAAGGCCGCTATCAGGCGTCCAGATATCTTCGCACAAGTGGATGGCAACGGGCATTTCTGTTCTTGACAGTTTACCTCAAATACAAACCATCCTACAAATCATCCGGAATATAAAGACGAAGAGAATATTACTTTTTGAATAAGTATTTGAAGCACCACGTAAAAAGAAAGACTGTAAAAGATCAAAGGCACGGTTCACGATGAAAACGGTTACTGAGTTCTTCCTTTAGGAATACTTATGGTTAGTGGCCCCAAGGGTAATAGAAAAGACCCTTTCGCGCCCAAAAACTCCACGGTTAGGACATAGTGGAAGCCTTGTTCCCGGTCCGCGCGGCCTCCCCCCCTCGATCGGAAGTCACGTTAGCCGGCGTCGAGGCGATACAGATTGCAATCATTCGTTCTAGGACCCCTTGCAATCAGCTGAGCAGCTCCTTCGCGTTCAGCGCACTGTATTTTATCTTATCTTGCATTTTTCGTCATAATCTGGATTACCCTGAATTATCGTGGACCGTGCCTTTGAGTTTTCAATTGTGGGATGTCTTTCGTCCCGAATTTCACCTTTAGGACTAGGAAAACCGTGCACGTGTCAGTAAATAAAAAAATAACAACAAACAAACAAATACGGTTTTGTGTATGTACAAATACGGTATCAAACGGTTTTGTGATGAAATATGAAAACTAGAACTGACTTCAGCGATACTTTTGAAAAACAGATGACTCTTGATCTGCTAGTGATTAACTCAATTTTACTTTATCTTCTATACAAATATAGTACTCACTCTTCTTGGCATGTTCGTTGAGTCGTTTCAAGAACTCAGCCTCCACTTTTTCATTTCTGCACATCGTTTTGAGATCTCGTGACGGTTCTCCGACCTAGAAAATCGATAAATCGATTTTACCTGATATCATGTACACCTTACAAGCGCTACTTCTATAAAATAAGATGGTACCTCTTCGGCAATCTTTTCCAAATGCTTCAAATTCGGCACCACCAAAGCAACCGTGTTGGCCTCAAGTCCATATCCATATACACAAACATTGTCAATTATTGGGCAGTTAAGAAGGGCGCATTCCACCTATAGCATGAAGATCAACATATGTAACCAAGACAAGAAAGAACTAGCAGGAGAACAATGTCCATATTCCTTATTTGGAGAAAAAAAATTATAACTACCTTTGCGAGAGAGACGTATTCGCCATGTTGTAATTTTACGAGGTCCTTTTTACGATCTTAAAAAGAACATAAATTTGTTTGCCCGCACAATATGAGGTGACTGACAGACAGTCGCGGTTAGATGCACGTAGGACCACGTGTTCTACAGCAATCAAGATAAGGTCACACTTACCAACTATGATCAACGATCCGTCTTTCCGCTTCTCACCAATGTCTCCTGTGCAGAAGTATCTTTTGCCCTAGAACGTTCACTCTTACACTCTTAGAAATCACCTATGAAGCCAAGTGAAAAATAAGCAAGATCATAATATTTTCTAATAAAAATCTACGTGAATACCTTATACATAATGAACTCCTCGGCCGTTTTCTCTGGCTGCTTAAAATACCCAGGTGAGACGTTATCACCGGTGATCAGTATTTCACCTTGAGGAGGGTCATTGAACGGTGAATACCCGCCTGAAGAGAAATCCGCTTTATTATTTACCTTATTTATTATTTATTTACGTTTTATTTCACCAAAAGCGACATTGGTTCAGGAGAAGCAACTTGAATGCAACTGAAAGTCGTTGCAGGCAATAAAAAATGATTGATCTAAATAATATGAAGACAAGGAATTCACCTTCAGCCCATTCTCTTAGCACTATTTCACAACAGCGAACGGGAGGTCCAACAGTTCCTGTGCTGAGGTCGTTGATATCGGCTACACAGGCAGCACCGCATGTCTCGGTTAGACCGTAGCCCTAGTAAAACAGTAAGTACGCGCCGTAAGAGCACGCGAATACAAAAACTAATTATTAAGACCGTACCTGAACGACTGGGCAACACATGCAGATATTCATAAATCTTTGCGTCTCGGCGTTCAGGGGAGCACCACCAGATAGCACCCCTCTCAACTTCCCTCCTAGTAGTCGGCGAATCTTTTTGAAAACGATCCTGGAAAGTCAGCAGCATAGGCAAGACTTTTATGCCATGCAAACAATTCATAGATCAAAAGTTTGAATGTAACGTCAGAAAATGTACATTCTACTTAACCCCTTACAGAAAGCACAATGTGCCCTAAGAATATGGAAGAATTTCATTGGGTACCTAATGCCCTTTGGCACTGCAGATTGACTCACCTGTCGAGGAATGGACTGCAGTAGCCCTCCTGGTATCGAGCCCGCTTACGTTCGTAATTCAACTTAAACAGCTCTTGCATTATTCTCGGACTGGCGGCGACTTCTTCCGAAACGGCTTTGAATATTCGGTCCATGATTGCCTGAACAATGTTTCTCATAGCTTAAAGATATGTATTTTGTTTTTAGAATAGCAAACACTCAAACTGACAGGCACAGCAGCCATCAATGTTGGTCGAAGGGCATGACAGTCACCATGAGTACCCGCTTTGATTTTACTAGCACGATCATGCAACGTCAATGGACTTGAGTAGCCGATCTGAAAAACTTGTTTTTTTGGGTTCATTGGTTACGACACCGCTAAGGTTGTTTGAGAAAATTACTTCAACTTGACTGCAATATGAGTTCATTTGAAGAAGTTTTAACTATAAACGTCAATAGAAAGAGCAAACAATAAAATACATGGAACAGGAAGACCTACCTTACATCCGCAACTGAGCGACGTGAGCTCGGCATCTAATTCGAGGATGTGCGCCAAAGGCAAATATCCTATATACGTGTCAGTGTCGCTGAAAAGATGAATTTTAGGTCAAGCACTGGACTAAACTCATCGATAATAGAATACACTAAAAATCATCGACGCAAGTGGCAGGAGTGCCATCGCTGTAAAAATATATGCTATTTGGAAAGTGAGCGGAATCATTTTAGCATAAAAAGAAAGGTAGAAACATTTGCAAAACTTTCAAGCGTAAACAAAAAGTTAGAACCATCCGCAAAACACTTTTGCCCTAAAGAATCCTATACGACCTCGTCTTCAGAACGAGATGCGACTTCTTGTAGTTCAACTGTTCTAACTATGTTGCTCTGAGAGTGTTGAGCTCAGAATTCTTCCTTTCATCTCGTTGCTTTTCGTGACCATAAACACAACTTTCTTATGGAGAAGAGTTCACATAAACTTCATGAGTACACTCTCGGATGCATATCTCATTCACTGCCCAAAATAAGGAGGTCCTCAAATTAGCGTTTCCCCATGGATGGATGGCGGAATCTCGCCCGAATTTCCATAAAACGAAGTTCGTACAAAACTGGGTCAATCTGTGTGAAAATTCTGAATAAAACCGAAGGAAAAGATCAGGTGAAAAAGACCCAAATCTATTTTTCTTAGACGATCAGAACAAGCGGAAATAAAAGGCTAAAGTCACCCAAAGTCTCTGAAGAAGCGTTCGAATCTATGCCAACTGAAGAAGACTATCATTGGGACACAATACCTAGCCCATCTCTGAATGTAGAAGAGCTTCCGACATTTTGTAAGCAACCATTCATATGTTACTGGAGTTTTTTATTCTTGAAAGATTTGAAAAATATTGGTGTGCACTTCGCCTAATGACTAAAATATGTACTCTATGCACCTTTTCTTTAAAGAATGAATTGACGAAAATAAGTTTAATACCATGAGCATAACGACAATGTCAGCATCATCAAGTAGACTCAAAAAGTGTAAGGAAGACATTGGAACATACTTGATGATAGCGACACCGTTACCCTGTCCACATATAGCAGCAACTATGTTCCTCTGTAACAACATGACACCCTTTGGTGGACCAGTAGTTCCCGATGTGTACATGATTAATGCAAGATCTTCAGGAGAAGCCGTGGACTGCTCTAAAAAGAGTTATGGTTGCACCAGCGCAATGAAAACCAACACTAGTTCAAAACGAGCAAGTATGTATGTATTGATAAACAGCTCTTAACTTCGCATACTACAGCTATTCTGAAAATAGCAAGGTAAACTGACTGATGGATGCATTCGTTCTTGCCATAAGATCCTTGAAGGCCAAAACGTCCTTGAATTGTTTTCTGAACTACGTATGAATGAATTATGCAGCGCAGCTCATTCAGTGTTCATGAGTAGGTTCCAACAAACCGGAAAGGTTCCAAATTTGGGTGTGGTGCATCTTTGTTCACTGGAGGGAAATAGATGAGAGTATGAAGAGAAAGGCAGCGTTTGCCAAGAGTCTCGATTTTTCCCAGCAGTTCTGCTGACGTGATAAGAATAGAAGAGCCTGTTTCATCAATGGCGTGTGCAATTGCCTAAACATTGGTAAGTAAAAGAAGTCAAAGCTGAAATCCAAGATGCAACTAAACGAAGATTGAGAGATAACGTGAAACTGACATCTTCACCCAGAGTGGCGTATACGGTAACAATTGGAATGTTGGCTCGGAAACATGCCAAAGCGGTGATAAGCCAGTGAGCTCGGGTTTCAGCGAATATGACAACCTAGACACAATTTAATAACGTTTTGCGTATATTCTCAAATTAATACCTTAAATTTGGTGTGGCACTGAAATCATACAAACTTAACGAGTTTAGAAACCTGCCTTAGGATCTTCTCCGGTGGCGGCTTCTTTCAAACCTGCGGCTACGACAGCAACCTTGGCTTCGACCTCCCGGTATGACATCCATTCATATTCGCCCATTTCCCACTGCAACACTCTCATCAGTCAAAGGCCTAAGGAAGCAGCGCTGGCAAAAAAATAATAGTTCCTGTCATTTCCACATGCATCATTCTTTTCTTTTCGACTTAGGATATCAGAGGACAACGTATAACTTGCCTTCCATGCTAATCGATAAAGTCGGTGACATCTTCTAATTTTGAAAATTACGACGTTAATTTAATGAGACCCTGTTGAAATGGAAAACCACTCTTATTTAAAATACATTGCCATAAAACATAACATTATATCTAACCTTGTAAATGAATACAACGAAAGCCCTTGTCCACAGAAGCGCTGTGTTCGAGAGAAAAGGAGGGACAGAGGAGTATACAATACTTTACATGACCCTTTTTATCAATCCTATTGTCCATAGAGCTGTTTCAGCGGTAATCAAAAGGATGCTAAAACAAACCTTCTCAAAAACTCGTCCACCATCTTGCTTTTCATGATGAACTGCTAACAACTGCCGAGTTCCAAGAGCAGGGGCCTCATCATACAATTCCACAATATGGCGCCATACCTAGAAAATTTAATCTACAAATTAAATTTAATCTACAATATGCAAACTTCAGGAATCACTAGGATTACCTTATCAACCGTGTCTTTTCCAGGAAACTCTTCAGTTTTTAAACCATCCACATGCCTGATAGGGCCGTCACGTGCATCAACCCATTGGGCCTAAATATGACGGAACAGGTTAGCCTTTTTGAACGTACCTATATGGAGCAAATAATAACAAAAACGATAAAAGTTCTCTTTTCCACTCAATCTCAGAATCTAAACCCTCTGGTTCTTGAAAATTCATTAATGAATGCTAAATTCATAAAAATCGGGCAAATAAAGGATTGTACTACTAAAACGAAAGTATTTTCAGCTCGTAATCAGAGAAAAACAGTGATGTACTACATCATTTGCACACTTCTTATAAAAGAGAGGTTGATGATCGTGACCAACAGGTCAACAGACAAAATCAATCAAAAATATGATTAGCGAAGCGAAAAAAGAAGAGGAATAGACGACACTACCTTGACTTTGCTCGACCTGCGAAGTTTCTCTGTAGGTGAATTGAACAACTGATAAGGAATATAGTTCAAGCAGTCGTAAATGAAAAACCATATTCGTAGTATGCCCATGAGAATACGAATCCATAATGGCGATGATCCTTTGACGACCTGCACAAAAATAGTTGTGATGGACATTGACAACGGCGTATGCGCTAGTGTTTTGCGTAAAGACTGATACGCCATAAACGCCATAAATTAGAACGACCGCAAATGGTCATTCGTCATATCAAGATAGCTCACCCACCGCACTATGACCACTTGATCGTATCAGCTCATTGTTAGGAACCCACTTGTCCAGGTACATAACCGATAAGGTATAAATTTGTCCTTATGACAACTTTCAGCTCGGAATGGCAAGCAGGGTTACGTTTTTACTCACGACAGCTTTGAAACGGAGTACCCCGATTTCTGCTTTAGATCGGATATTATAAAAAGGGTGGTGACGTTGTGAAACAGACGAATGGATGTGCGGCGCTCGAGATATAACACCTGTTCGCTCACACCACAAACCACCTCCCACACTGAGCTCTTCTTCAACTCTTTCAACCTCCCTTACGATACTTTTTCAACGTTCTATCTAACCTTACACCACTGTAATTATGATATGAGAGAGGATTTATGGAATGGCCACTTCAAAAGAGTTTTTTTTTCTCGCAAAAAGCCCTTCCGTTCTACGGTATTAAATACCTTGTTCCAGAATAAATCATAGGAATAAAAGCTTCGTTATATATGTCGCCCAAGTTATTTCCTACATGCTTCAAGGGGTTTAAAGAAACCGTAAATAATCCAAAAATATACCATGCCAAGTTTCTCGTCGTGCTTTGCATCATACTTGTCTTGGCTTAATTTACGTACTACCATCCTGAAAAACACTTCTCGATTAAGTCTGTTTGTATCCGTAATGTAGCGATAATAACGCGAACGAAAAGCACGAGAACTTCAAACTCTAATCAGCAATACCTATGTATGTAAGAAATCTCTACTGTTTATTGTAAGTATCACGTGTCCAGATCATTAAAGCAGGGCCGCCTTCTTATCGCGATCCTGTCGCATTTCGTAGCCTACACTATGCTCACCTGATGTTCCAAAGAGCATCGTTGTTAACACTTTGATTTTTTCTCAGTTTTTTGCTCACTTCGTTACTTCGTGCCCCGAAAGAAATAATAAAATACAATAGAAACATGTTTTTTGGTTTCGCATCTGCCGATTTTCATGAAAGAAGCACTAAACAGGGCGAAGTGCATAAGAATATTTCCCGTGGCCAAGTCAAAACAAAATGGCTTCAAAAAATAAACGTCAGGCCTTGTCGCCTAACAACCATTCAAAAAGAATGTTTCAGTTTTACAACTACGGGATAAAAAGAAGAAACTAGATAATCAGCTGAATGAACTAAACAAAGAAAGTATTCAGTATTGGCTTGTACTTTGACGGCATTTGGGTTTGATGCGTACAACTAGTTGCTTCCACGAAGACTACTTTTTTATGAGTTTCATCATAGTCTTAGAATTAAGAAAACAAAACAAAGGTAAACAAGCGGACTGAAAAGATAGCAATTGTCTAAGCAATATGGTGGGGGAGATCAGCAGTTGAATGAAAGAAAAAGATTTGTTGAGAATTTAGCAGTGAAAATCTACGGAGTACGATTCCAACGTTCATCAAAGCTATGGAGTTCACTGAATCAAAGGAAGCGAAACCTTAAAAGGTAAAATCGAGTCCAATCTGCATACTTGAAAACATTGAGAAGATTGATTTGACTTT